GTCAAATCAGAACAAACTCTACTCTCCTAATTAATCCCTGCTGAGTCATGCATATCTACATCTACACTCTTCAAAGATGATAGATTCCCTTTTTAAATATGACAGATTCTCTTTTCAAAGATGAAAGCTTTATCGGATTTCTGCACAACTCCAAGCAAAGAAAATTGGTTTTATCAGACAAAATGGGGCATCAAGGTCATAGTTCTGACTACGATAAGAGTTCCACAAATGAAACAATTCTTCTGAGACTTTCATGAAGCAAAGAAGACATAAAGATACAAGTTGATCAGATGGTTCTTCAGAAATGCAAGCTTGATAGCATAAGTTGCTACACTGATATCCAGAGGTGACCCTGGCAATAAATGATGAAGTGGAGGAAAACCAAGTTCACCATTTTGAAGTCAAATGAAGATTGCATCAAAATTCATGCATCATATTTAGACATTTGCAAAATAGGAGCATTTTCATTCATTTTATCCATGTTGAATATTTGACAGGAATTTCAAAGATTTTAGCAAAGTTCAAATCCATCATTCAATGGATCAACTTTTCCAGAGAGAGTTCATAATGAGAAGAACTCATCTGAAGAAAGAAGAAGAAGTTCATAATGAGAATAACTTGTTCAACTTTTCGCTTGAATTCATCATTTGATGGATCATCATTACCAGGTCAAGTTCATAATGAGAAGAACTCATCTGAAGAAAGAAGAAGAAGTTCATAATGAGAAGAACTTGTTCAACTTTTCGCTTGAATTCATCATTTGATGGATCAGCATTACCAGGTCAAGTTCATAATGAGAACAACTCATCTGAAGAAAGAAGAAGAAGTTCATAATGAGAAGAACTTGTTCAACTTTTCGCTTGAATTCATCATTTGATGGATCAACATTACCAGGTCAAGTTCATAATGAGAAGAACTCATCTGAAGATAGAATAAGAAGTTCATAATGAGAAGAATTTGTTCAATTTTTTGCTCGAATTCATCACTCGATGGATCAACTTTTCCAGAGAGAGTTCATAATGAGAAGAACTCATCTGAAGAAGGAAGAAAAAGTTCATAATGAGAAGAACTTGTTCAATCTTTTGCATGGTTCTATCACAGAAAAAGATAGATTAGCATCAACATTTCTAGATTACATCACAAAAGGAGACAAATTATCATCCCCAGTGGAAAAGTTCATAATGAGAAGAACTAATCCCAAAGAAGATTTTGTTCAACATTACCATCATAATCAAATGAAGTCAAATGAAAAAAACTTATTGTCTTTTGTCTTTGCCCTATTCTTGTTAATACAAGAATGAGTAAAGAGGGGCAGCTGAAGACACTAGTTTTTTACATTTGGTTTTTTTTATATTTATTATTATTATTATTATTTTTATTATTATTATTTATTATTATTATTATTAATATTATTATTTATTATATATTACAGGCCCAAATTACAACCCAAACAGTAGCCCAATTCTGGCCCAACTGAGTAAATCCATCAAAAACCCTAAAACCCAACTAGGGTTTTCTATCCTAGTGCTGCCGCCACTTTGCTTCTCCACCGTTGGATCTAGCATTGATCCAACGGTTCAGATGGTCCCAGCAGAAACCCTAGGGTTATGATACCCTAGGGCCACATGGCTGTTGTTCGTCAGCCAGCCGACACCTTCAATGCCAGGTGACCCAACCAGCAGCTGCCGACGCCTTGCTACCTTGACACCACCTCACCAGAATGCTCCAGAAGCATCCCGAGGTCATACACGTCGCTGCTCTAGAGGTGAGTCACCACTGGAAGTTTGGTGACTCACCAAAGCTTCCTCTATTGACTGGTCCGACGAGAGCCTCTTCGAGACTATATGACCACACCTGCAAAAAGAAAAAAAAGAGAGACAGAGAGCAACGGAGACAGCAACCAACATACCAGAGAGAGCAATGAAGAGATACCGAACAGACAATAGAAACAGGAAAAAAATAATAACAACTCTTAGCAGCAATCAAAACAGAAAGAAAGAAAGGAGAAAGAACTTACCAAAAAACCACGCGTGACCGGAGACGCTATGCCGACGAAACATTCGAAATACCCGAAGGTATTTTCATAGATTTGCTCCGATCAGGAGCTTTTTAAGAAAACGGTCACCGGAACTGTCATTAGGACGGTCTGATCTACGTTGTGGTATAAAAATAAAATTTTTCGGCCACCGGATGCGGTGGCCGGCGGTGAGAATTACGGCGGCAGACGACTGCCGCCCGGTAGCTGGCTTCCCTCTGATGAGGGAAGCTAGAGAGAGACGAGAGAGAGTTTAAACTCTCTCTGTTTAGAGAGAGGAGAGAAATTGAGAAATGAGAAAGCTGGCCCGAAGGGCCAGCCGTTTCGGGCTTAAATAGCCCTTCCCGAACGACGTCGTTTTGGGGAGGGCTATTTGTGTAATTTTTAAATGTCCCTTTCCGTAGTCCCTATGTTTTATATATTTTACATTTTAGTCACTGAATCAAATTTATGATCCTTTTAATTTGGTCTCTAAATTTTATTTATTTATATTTTAGCCCTTAACCGTATTATTAAATATTTAGATAAAATACGTATTTAGTCCTTTAGTTTTTATAATTAATATTTTAATCCCGAGTACATATTTTAATTATTTAATCTGATATTCAATTTAATATAATTTTATTTAGTCACCAAATTAATAAATGAGTAAAATAACATTTTAATTCCTGTAATTTTAAATAATTAATTATGAATTAGGTTTTTAATTCTATTAGGTTCTAATTTAGTCACTAATTTCAATTTTTATTTATTTTTTTTACAAGTTTTATATATAGTTTTAATTTTATTTATTGTTTATTTATATGTTTACTTTTAATTATTATTACTATTATTATTATTATTATTTAACCATAAATATATATTTATATAATAAATAATATGTATTGTATTTATTAAAATCTTAGTTAATTATTTTTAATTTATTTTAATCCTATTTTAATATTTATTTATTTTCCAATATTAAGAAATGGCAGTCTTAAAATAACTGGATGTCCATTTTCTGATATTTTTAAATAAATAAATATCTTATTTTATAAATTATATATTAATTGTTTTAATTATTTATTTGTTTTTTTATATCAAAGAAAAGAGCTGTATTAAGGCACCTAGAAGTCCTTTTATGATATTTCTAAATAAATAAATATTTTGTTTATAAATATATATAAATTAATATATATTTTTCATAATTATAATTTTAAAATAATAGGATTATAAATTAAATATATATTGAATTTTTAATTTCTAATAATAGAGACAATTTATAATTAAAAAGTACCAATTTTGGGCGTTGTAGGGGTGTTAATCCTTCCCTAAACGTAACCGACCACGAATCCCTTTTTTATTATTAAAAAGAACGAATTTTTGGTTAAAACGCAGATCAATTTATCTTTTAATCGAGGTTTTCTTAAAAACTCTTTTAAAGGATGATTTTTAGGTATTCAACCTACCTAACCCAAAAGGCCGATGGCGACTCCCAAATTATTTTAAAAACCATTTATTCACATCACTTTTCCCGCCAAGTATAAATATTTCGTGCCCGGACGAAAACCGGTTACGACAAGGGACATTCTGGAACACATGCAACTTACCAAAGGATTAAGGCTAATTTTATTGGCCTAAATTGAAGGCTATGGTGGCAAATTATATTAGAAGTTGTACAGTTTTTCAGCAGATTAAAGTAGAACATGTTGCTAAGCCTGGGCTCCTACAACCATTGCCTATTCCTCAACAGGCTTGGGAAATTATAACTATGGATTTCATAGAGGGTTTGCCTACATCTCAGAAGAATAATTGCATTTTGGTGATAGTTGATAAGTTTACGAAGTACAGTCACTTCCTAGCCTTATCACATCCTTATACAGCTGTTGATGTAGCTAAATTGTATTTGGATACTGTTTATAAACTTCATGGCCAGCCTAAAATGGCCATTTCTGATAGAGACAAGACATTCACCAGTCTCTTTTGGAGAGAACTGATGAAGCAACTAGGTACTAAAACTCTTTTTAGTATTGCTTACCATCCAGAGATTGATGGTCAGATAGAAATGGTAAATCAGTGTGTGGAACAGTATTTAAGGGGCTTATGTTTCTTTCAGCCAAAGCAGTGGGCTAAATGGCTACCACATGCAGAATGGTGGTATAATACAACCTACCACACTTCCCTAAAGCTTACACCATTTGAGGCATTGTATGGCTACAAGCCTCCTACTATGGTTTGGCAAGAAGATACTAATGTGCAGTCTGTGGGTGACTTAATGAGACGTAGGGAGAATATCAAACAATTACTAAAGCTACAACTTGAGTATGCAAGTAACAGAATGAAACAATACACAGACAAGAAAGAATAGAAAGAATTTTTGCAGTGGGAGATACTGTTTACCTGAAATTGCAACCTTACCGTCAGACTTCCTTGGCCCTGAGCAAGAATTTAAAGTTAGCAGCGAAGTACTACGGACCTTATAAAATTATTGAGAAGATAGGTGAGGTTGCGTACAAGTTAGACTCACCAATTTCTTCAAGGTTACATCCTGTGTTCCATATAAGCCATTTGAAGAAGCACGTCGGGGATTCAACTGTATCTTCAAAGGATCCTCCTGACATAGACGGTGACGATCGGATTAAAATTGAGCCATATAAGATTGTGGGTAGAAGAATCATCAATCGATAGAACAAACCTGTAACGCAGTTGTTGGTGCGTTTGAAGAATCTCGATGACACCAGTGATATATGGGAGGATTACAAGGTTCTTCGAGGCCAGTTTCCTGAATTTGATCCTTGGGGACAAGGATCCTTTCCAGCGACGGGTATTGTTACAGTTGGAGGAGATGAGCGGGGAGAGAACGTAGAAGAGAGAAGAAAGTGAGGAAACAATTGGGGAAAATAATGGTCAAGGGTTAGGGATTACAGAAGGAGAATTGAGAATCGAGGTAAGAGAGGAAGAATTGGGAATCAGGGTAAGAGAGGGGATGGAATTTGGGAAATTAGGGATTAAAACAAATGGAGAGGGGGAGATGTATTTACCTGGTGAGGATAGAGCACGTGGGTCAATAGGAGGTGGACCAGCAAGCATTTCCAGCCCAGGAAGAGATGCCTTACCAGTTCGTGGCCCAATACCTGAGAAGAGGATAACATCAGTTTGTTATATCTGTTATGCAGTACAACATCTGGCATATTTAATTTACTATTTTAGCCCTGTAACTAAATAAAACATTGGCGGAGAGGTTTTGATTCCTCAAGTAATGAATGAAGCATTTCTTCTGAATTCTCTAAATTCTCTATTTCATCTTCTCGATTCTATTTCTATTTCTAAATTCTACTTCTATTTCTCTTGACTATAACAATTTCCTCTATCTAAACCTGAATTGTTAATATGTTGTGAGGAGATGATTGTTTCATATAATGGTGTATATAGTTGGGGCGGAAGCTGAGAGGAGAGGCTTCAACTTCTTTTATCTGAGGTGAAGGGCAAAGATATAACTGAGCTTATTGCATCTGGGAAGGAAAAGCTTGCCTCTGTTCCTTGTGGTGGTGGTGGTGTTGTTGTTGCAGCTGCTGCACCAGGAGCTGCCGTTAGCGCCGCTCCAGCTGCAGCTGAGACTAAGAAGGAAGAGAAAGCTGAGGAGAAAGAGGAATCCGATGATGTAATAACTCTAACACACTACTTCACTTCCATTTGTTGTGGCCCAAAATTATTAGTATGATGCGCAGGTAGATGTGTTTCAACTAATCAACTTCCATTTTTATTCACTGTGTTGCACGATGTGGGTTTCAGTCTCTTTGACTAAGAATAACCCCACATTGAGCAATCCACGAAGAGAGATTTTCTTTTGAATTTAAGGCTGTTCAGATTTTTCAAGTTTTGTTATTCGGTGTTATATACTTTATGCCCAATGCTATATTGAACAAATCCATAATCAAAATGTTAAATTTTTATGTGGTTTGTTGTCATTTACCCTTTTTCCAATGAAATGATTTGTTAACTTGAGTATTTTGAGCCGACATATATATATAATGAAGAAGGCATTTTAGGTTATGTTATAGATCGAACCAACCTTTATTCTACCTTTCTCCTCTTCAACCTGCCCTTTGAATAATGTTGCAAGAGGCCTTCCATCAACACCAACAACAACAATGTCTGCTTCAAGAACTCTGTCATCCTTAAGTTGAACTTCCTTTACCTGAAAGGAGGGTGAAAGTGTCGGCATTAAAACGATTTCATCTCGTAAAAGATTACTAAATTATCATCCTTAAGATGACCACTTACCTCTCCATTTGAGTTAGAGGTGAATCCAACTGCAACTGTGCCCTTTTTAATTTTGATCCCTTTATTAGCACAATAACCCTCGTAGAAAGCAGCTATGTCAGAAGAGAAAAGCCGGGGCACTACAAGACAAGCTTCAAGTTAGAATAACAAGAGCCACTACAAATCAATTTATTCATTTATTCCTTGTCCTAAAGTTATATTTCGACGGTTGAAATCTACGTACTGCAACACGGTTCGGGGTAATCATGCTGACATCAAGATAACAGCCTTGCCATTCTTCTTTGTTTTGATTGCTTCTTCCAACTTATCGGCGTCATCATTTTCTCTCAACTAGAAGATGTTTTTTACTTCAGTTACTTGCACTCCAAAATATGTCAACCTTATTACCTGCAGGAATGGTGTGTTAAACCATTCACAGTAGGCAAAGCCATTAATTTTTCAGTTGAGATCCCTAGAAACTGTATGTAACTCACTGTGGAACCAGTTGCAATGATCAAAATTTGATACTGGAATCTTTTTCCAGCTTCGCTTACTAGAGTATTGGCATTTGGCAGGAAGATCTGCCTTCACTATTTCTGTGCTAAGGATCAATTCAATCCCTGCAGACGTGTACACCAGAAGTGCATCAATGAGTTTGAGATTAGTAAAGAAAAATGACAATTAGTTAAATTCAATTTTAGCAGATCCATTATTTATTTATTTCGACAATTCATTCTCAATTTTCACGTTGAACAAATCCACAAACATGTTGCTAACCTTTTTCCTTGTACCACTCAGGAAGCAGCCTCTCTACACCACTTCCAACACAAACATGGAAACGTGGAAGCCTTGCAGCTCCTGTAAAGGACAAATCACCAAATTGATGCAGTAAACAAACCAATAAGATGGCCAGAAAAACCAGTGTTGCAACTAAAAGCATAGTTACCGTTGCATTTTTGCGATTTTAGAGTTTGTTTGAACTTTCCAAATAAGTATAGAAAAAATGTATTGGGGATTACAGCTTAACCTCAGGGAAGAGATGTCCCTTTTCTCAGGGCTGGACGTTCATATGGAGCCACCTAAATGTATAAGAAAGAGAAAATCAGGTAATAGGCAAACAAATTTAACCATTCCGGGCATCAATAAATTACTACAGTGCCAAATTATGTTGTGTCATGTACTGTAAATGACACTGGCACAGGCCTCTATCACAGATAGAAGGTAAAAAGAGCATCCCGAGGAAAAAAAGTTCCCTTAAAGACGGTAGCACGAGAGAACAAATTAATGCTACACTTTACACTTTGAAACGAAATCATGCAATAGCTCTTACGCATTTTCTAAGAACTAATAATCAAAACAACAATTGTAAGTGATATGAATAGAATGATGCATACGGTGATCTAAAATGTCAGAATGCAAGATACACTCTGCTTAATAGAACAAAAAATTCCATTATCATGAAATGATTAAAATAGTTATAAAAGATTAGAAATTTGGCCTCACATCGCTGCAGAGCCTAAGCCCCAAGCCCCAAGCCCTCCTGAGTCACTATCTACCCAGTAGGGCTTTGTATAGGATGGAAATGGTATGTCCTTAAAACGACACGTAAAAAAATTAAAATTATAAAAATATATAAAAAAATAAAAATGTTAAAATATTTTACTTTTTTGAAAATTTTTAAATTATTTAAAAATAATAAAAATATTAATTATTATTAAAATTATAAAAGTTGATTAAAATTTATAAAAAAAAAATCTAAAATATAACATTATTATATTTAAAATATAAAAATATTAAAGACTTATATACAATATTAAATAATTATTAATAAAATTTAAAATACATAGAAAAATCTTAAATTCAAAACAAGAAATTTGTTCGCTCCCTAGTCACCTTCCCAATTCCCACGGCCAAGGCAACTTTGTTGGCGAACTCACTTCGAGGTTTTACGACGTCACACCCAAAGGAGTATGCCTCACATGCTAAAGGGATTCCCGAAAGAAACTGACGCCAAAAGTACGATAACTATAAAACAAAAAATTAATTATTTAGCAATGTACCATATCGAGTTATAATTGCAGGTTTATATCACTAAAATGAGTAAAGATTTCTTCGACAACTTGAAATGATTTATTTTTTAATATAAATGGTATAGTATTAAAAAATCAAACTCTTTAATAATACAAATGATAACCTTATTGAAATTTATCTTAGTACTGTTAATCAATGATAGAGTAACAAAAATTTGGCCTCGCATTCCTTCAATCTCTTTCTTTCTTCAAATGGTGATCCAAAAAAGGTTGAAAATCAGAAGGAACTTTCTTCAATGAGCTAAATCCTGATCACTCATGTAATCAGTTTAGGTTTCATAAAGCTATAATTAGCAAAAAAATTCATACCGCCTCCTTGGAAATAATAGCTAGCTCCCTAGGCTGTACACTTACACGGGTCGTAACTGTCAAATAAAATATTTCTAATTCTCAAAATAAATAACTGAAAAGAAGTATAGAGAAGTAAGATCGATCCGCATGGACTAAAAAGTTTCCAATGCTGAATTGTCTTGATCTTGATTCAAGGATTAAAATAAAGAAAGCGGTTTTGAAATAAAAAATGAAAATCTGAAAATGATGAAAATAAAACAAGAGTAAATTTTTGAAAAGAAATTAATGAGATGAAAATAGCCTCAAGCTTCACTTTGCCTCAATTCCAATTGATCATCGAATGAAATTTTACTTCGGGAAACATGTCGATTACAATTTACAAGGCTCAATTCTTGTAACTTACATTTCTCTCCAGTAAACTGATATTCCCAAGTCTATCTTTGGATTCACTCTTTGCTGGACTAACCACAACTATCGTCGTTAGTACCAATACTGCTTTAAGCACTGGAAAAGCCCAACTAGGGCTATGATGTCTCGATGAGAATCGAACCCGATCTCAATTCACCTTAGTGGATTGCCGCTAAGTTTGTTCTTAGGAAGTCGAATTTCGACCAATTGATTCTTTCTCCCAACAATAAATCAAAACAACATTCAAACCAATGCCAACTTTTTGAAATGAAAGTATCGCAAATTTCAAGAAAGTCAATAATCATGTCATCCACGATCATGAATCCTAATTCAAACAAAAGCGTATTCTCAACAAGCATACCATTATAAGTTATTCAGAAAAACAAATGATGTTCAATGAAAAATCATCATACCCAACTGATGCATACTAAATTTCAACCACATGAATATTCAAGGGAAAATTCGATTCAATTCTCTACCCCCTCACTTAAAGTGTATTATCCCAATACGAAAATTTAAAGTATCAGAGAAGGGATATATATACTCCCTGTGTCTATCGATGATGGATTATTTGATGTAATGAGTTCTTGGTCATATCACTATTGTGGAGTATAATTTCCAATCAAGAATCCATCGGAAGATGTATTAATATTGAAATTTTCTACAAAAAATGAAGGTGGTACATTAGTAGCAGTGTAATTGTAACACCCTAAATTCTGGGCTAGTAGTTTCGAGTTTACTCGAGAGGTAAGTAGACCTCGTGGAACTCATAAGTAAAGTCATTGGGTCAATTGTGGGCTTAATTGGGTTGGAATTAGGCCCAATTAGCCATAAAAAGGGAATTTTTGAATAGTAAAAAGATGAGGAATGACCAAATGGCCATTTTTACCTTTAAAAAAACAAAAGCTTTTTATCTCTTTCATATTTTTCTCTTCATTTCTTCTTTCCTTCTCATTTTTCCTTCTCATTTTTCCTCTCATTCTTCCTCTCCAAGTTCCATAGCACAAAGATAAGTTCTTGATCTTCTCTCATACTTTAATTTCATTCCTAATCCTCTAATAACATATTTTTAATGATTCAAAGCCTTGGGTTATTTGTTTGCAAGAAAATTGAGGGTTTTATCATCCAACTCTTGGTGAAGAGTAATTGCTAGCCAAAGGAGCTTCATTTTGGGATTCTTTAACCAAATTAGTGTATTTTTAATCGTTTGGAGTGTTAAGGTTTTCATAAATATGAAGAATTGCTAAGATTTGTGTAGTTGAGCATTTTTAGGGTTTATAATTGATTTCATGATTAAATGACATTTTAGATGTAAAGAATGTGTTTTTATGCCACTTTAAGAGCATAAGTAACTTCCTAAAGCTTTAGTCCATGATTAGGAGCCAAACTAAGACCTTTATGATGATTTTTAGGTGTCTCTCTAGCTTAAATAAGACTTTTTTGGGATACTGGATTAATTGATATGAAATTTGGGGATTTTAACTTGGAGTATCGATACTGCCCCTATAATACCAATATTCAGGGTAACAATATCGATATTGGGCCTAATTTTTAGCAATATAAGCCATTTTGGGTAACGATACTCATAAGGGTATCGATACTGCAAGTAGAGTATTGATACTACCCACCTGTGATGGTTAGTTATGGCAGCTTTAAGGCTCATAAGAGCAAAGGATAATCCATAATGGTAGATCTTTGTCTATGAGGGACGTAAATGGCTAAAGGGGCTCAAAAACACTCGTAGGAGTGAGTTACAACTGAAGTAATCATAGTAGGTGTAATACA